AAAAAAAAAAAAAAAACAATTGTTTATATGGTTAATGTTAATATTACTTACGCCAGGTAACCCCTGTCTAAGGAGCTTGGGAATCTGGGTTCAATTTCCAGTCCTCCCCCTAAAAATGTTTCTTTTAATTTAAATACTAGTTTTTCACATTGATGTGTAATAAATACACTTGGGTTCCCAGAGGAATTAGTGCAAGTGTGCAACATGAGGAGACTTGGCTTTGGTTCCCCCAGCGCAGCGGCAGACTGACCGGAGCCTCCTCGTGCACTCAGCCTTGCTGTTCAGGGAGCAGGCGGGGCGCAGCGACAGGCGCTTGACAGGAGAGGGTGGCTGCCACAGAAGGAGCATCAGAACTGGAGACCAGGCAGGCGGCTGCTCCGGTAGGGCCTTTTAAAGGTCACCAGAAAGTCAGAGGGCCAGCCTGATGTTGACACTGCTCTGCCCCCAGGCCTGACCTTGGGACAGCACGGTCTATTCCTCCTTGGACTGGTGTATGGAAGACGTACCTGGCAATGAGGGCATTAGTGTTCTGTGCTCTGCGCTTGCTGTTAGGTGCATTTTTCACCTGGTGTATTCTTGGTGGAAGAGTTTAGAAATTGCTTCCTCACGCTTTATTCATTATCTGCGGTTATATGATCTCAATCCAACTTCTCCTGTTTGTCTTGCAGGAATCAGAGGCTTTCCTCTCGAATCTAGTCGTGAACAAGACCATCTTTGCTAAAGTAGACAGGTTGGCAGGAATCATCAACTTCCAGAGACCCAAGGATCCAAATAACTTATTAAATGACTGGTCTCAGAAACTGAACTCGCTCATGTCTCTGGTCAACAAAACCACACATCTCATCGCCAAAGAGGAGATGATTCATAATCTACAGTAAGGTCCGGTGCTTTTACAAAAGAGATGAAATTGGAAGTGATTAAAAAAAAAAGACTGTTACTGTGGTGTACCTGTGGTTTCTCTGTTCTCTCTCTGCCCCTTCGTCGACCTTATTGCTAGTAGCGAGCCGGTACAACACGATTACACGACACGTTCCTATTGTCCAAATACATAACAGCTTGTGTCTTCACTTTCCCAAGGGTGCGTTTCTGTCTTTTGAAAACCTCCTGCGTCACTTGTTTTTGTGTGATTGTGAAACCACACAATGCCGCTGTTACTGCGTGCGGGGTGATGGAACTAAGTGACGCTGGAAGCCATCTTGACTCCTTTGAAAGGCACAGACACTGGGCGCTGTTGTGATTGACACCTTTATGCTGTGGCAGGCGCTCTAGATGCAGCACTCTGGTAGGATACAGCTTTTTTTAAAATTAAAAAACAACTGCTTTCAATCCCAGTAGTTGGGTTTCTTTTACCCTCTGCCTTCACGTCACTTGGCCAAAATTAGGTGACATTGGGTCTTAAGTGCAGTCTGTAGAGAGGTAGTAACTGAACTTTTTTTGGTCCTCTTGTAGAGATAGGATCTGTGTTGATCTTCCCATTTCTGCCTCACAGGTTTGTGACTGTTCCTGGCATAAAGCGTCTTTGTCACTTTTACTTATAAGCTGTAATTAAAGTTAATATTCCAAATTATATATCTGTATCTATCGTACAGTGCTGGGTAATCTTATTTTTAATACTTAAATGTGACAAAACGCAACAACACTTAAGGCCATCTTCATAGTAAATGGTATAGACTTAATCTTTTTCACAGAATTTAAAGCTGTACTGTACAATACCTGAGGTCAATTAGTATGAGCAAATATTGGGAGCTTTTATATTTCAGAGAAACTTAAAAAAAAAAAAAACCAGGGCTGGGAAGGCGGCTCAGTGGTAAAGTGCTTGCCTTGCATGCCAGAGGCCCTGGGTTCAATTCCTCAGCACCACATAAGCAAAAAGAAAAAAGCCGGAAGTGGCGCTGTGGCTCAAGTGGTAGAGCGCTAGCCTTGAGCTGAAGAGCTGAGGGACAGTGCCCAGGCCCAGAGTTCAGGCCCCACGACTGGACCCAAAAAAAAAAAAAACCAATGTTAGAAAGTAACTTAAAAGATATTTAAGTGAAGAAAGTTAGGGTCTTCTTTAAAAAACAAAAATCCACTGGGCAAAAAATGTAACCCAGCCAGGCAGTGGAATATTATTAAGCACTATATAGGCATGAGCCACTAGTGCCCAACTGAGAATCTCTCTCTCTCTCTCTCCCCAAATGAAGTAGGAAACAGTATTCTAGAAATGGCATTTTTCTAATTTCCTTTCCGAGGCCAGGGCGCAGGATGGCTGTGGGAGTTGCAAATAGGAAGCTACTGCATTGGCTGCATATGTAAAGCTGGCATCTGCTCTCCTTACCTTGTAAAAACTAACCAACAATGAGGCGGCAAGCCCAGAAGCCTCAAGTTCACACTAGCAGCAAGAACATGGCTGTAGGGGCTGGGAAGGTGGCTCAGTGGTAGAGAGCTTGCTTTGCATGCCTGAGGCCCTGGGTTCAATTCCTCAGCACCACATAAGCAAAAAGGGAAAAAGCCGGAAGTGGCGCTGTGGCTCAAGTGGTAGAGTGCTAGCCTTGGGCTGAAGAGCTGAGAGACAGCGCCCAGGCCTAGAGTTCAGGCCCCACAACCGGGCCCCCCCCCCAAAAAAGAACATGGCTGTAATGCTGAATGCAAAGCTTCATTGTATAGTCACTTGTAAGCAGAGTTAGAGCTAATTTGAATCTAGCTTGTCATTAATTTCAGTCTTGGGCATCATTACCCTTAGGGTGGCCATACCTGGACTGTTAGGCTCTGACGTCACCGTAGAGCCCCGCTGTGAGCCTCTCTGGAAGCGATCAGGCATGGCTACTCCCAGACTGGGCTCTCGGTGTGTTATGGTTTATTGCATTTGCAGTTGTCCTGGTGGCCAAATCTCCATGTCTTGATTTTTCTCATCAAGTGTACTCAAGCTGATGGCTATTAATCAATTTCTTAGTGTTGCTAAAAATAATCCATTCATTGAATTTAGTAGGCTTTGTGAGTGTTCAGAACCCAGATTAATTCCGTATTACCCTCTTACCTCCATGTGTGAGGCCCTAGGTTCAATCCCAGACACTAAAGTTATCATTCATGAAAGGTTGGGACTGGTGTACTTCAAACATAAGAACCCAGTAGGGTGGCACATACCTGTAATCACAGCTATTCCAGAGGGAGAAGCAAGAGGATCTATGAGTTCGAGGCCAGTTCAGGCAAAAACAGGGAGAATGTAGGTCAACAAAATCTACATAAGGGGACCAGAGGCATAGCTCAAGTGGTTGATCAGGTGCTGGGTTTGATTCCCAGTCCCACAGGAAAGATTGAACTTGGTTCGTTACCAAGTTTACCAGCCAGCATGTGAGGTGGACTAATCATCTTTTTGTAAACTGTATTTCCCTGTAGTTGTTCTTATTTTACAGTCCAGTAGCCATTGTGTGATTCTCTTCAGTTGCTTTATGCTCTTAATTTCATCCTCTGGATATAAGTAGCCACAAAAAGTAATAATTTGCCATGGATTTAAGAAAACTTAGAGAATAAGTTCATACGTGAAAAGGTCACTTCAAAGATTACGTTCATTTCTATCATCCTAACATTCATCTTTCTTCTGTGTTCTTTGCAGTACGTCCATAACCCACATTGGAACACCAATTGTCCCTGGGCCAAGTCCATGCTGCCACAGCCACCATTGTGGCAGTATCTTCCTGTTCCCGGCTTTGTTTTGTCCACGCCTATGCTACGCCTTCATCCTTTTACCCATGGCTGTATCTGTTCCGGAATGTCAGTGTTGGAACCCTAGCCAACACAGCCTTTTCTGGGTGCTGCTGTCATTTTCATGTCTTTTTCAGACCTGGGAAGCTCATTTTTTAGTGTTTACTAATATTCCACTGCCTGGCTGGGTTACTTTTTTTGTTTGTCAGCCATGGGGCTTGAACTCTGGGCCTGGGCGCTGTCCCTCAGCTCTTCAGCTCAAGGCTAGTGCTCTACCACTTGAACCACAGCCCCACTTCCAGCTTTTTGTGCTTAACGTGGTGCTGAGAAATCGAACCGAGGACCTCATGCATGTGAGGCAAGCACTCTTACCTTTTTGGCTGGGTTACATTTTATCCAGTCACATGTTGAAGGACATCTTGATTGTTCACAAACATTGACAGTTACAAACAAAGCTGCTGTAAACTGCAGGGTTTTGTGTAGTAAGACGCTTTCAAATCCCCGGGATGGGTCTATACCTGCTTTTCATCAGTGGGAAGCGGTTTATGCATGTGTCAGGCACCAGCTCACAGGCAGGAGTGGGGCTCAGTGGTTGAGCCCTTGCCTAGATATGCAAAGCTCCTGGGTTGCAGCCTAGCACCACAAACAAGTCACGGGTCTTTTTTTTTTTTTTTTTTTTTGGGGGGGGGTCCGGTCGTGGGGCCTGAACTCTGGGCCTGGGCGCTGTCCCTCAGCTCTTCAGCTCAAGGCTAGTGCTCTACCACTTGAGCCACAGTGCCACTTCCAGCTTTTTTCTTTTTGCTTATGTGGTGCTGAGGAATCGAACCCAGGGCCTCAGGCATGCAAGGCAAGCACTCTACCACTGAGCCACCTTCCCAGCCCCAGTCACGGGTCTTTTCTTCCCTAAGTGTTCTCTCAAGTTGGCAACTTGGGCCGTGCCGTGTTGTGTCCTCAGCTGGAGGTTCTTCAGCTGAGTGAGTGCACACCAGAGCCAGGCCGGCCTCCACCTGCAGACTTGCGGACTTGGGCCTGAGGGGTGGGGGTGGGGGGAGAGGCCCTGGAGTTTTCTAACAAGTTTTCAGGTGATGTCAAGGCTGTGTGGTCCACGGACCACTACTCTAGATGACTTCCAACTGAACTGTTGTTTTTTAATTTTTAAAAACTTGTTACCAAGGTGATGTATGAAGGGTTTGTAGTTACATAACTCAGAGTCCATTTCTTGGGGCTGGGAAGGTGGCTCAGTGGTAGAGCGCTTGCCTTGCATGCATGAGGCCCTGGGTTTGGTTCCTCAGTACCACATAAGCAGAAAAGGTTAGAAGTGGAGCTGTGGCTCAGGTGGTAGAGTGCTAGCCTTGCGCTGAAGAGCTCAGGGACAGCGCCCAGGCCCAGAGTTCAAGCCCCACGACCGACAAAAAGTCCATTTCTTGTGGACAATGTCACCTTTCCCTCCCTTTCTCCCGGTTTTCCCTCCCATCCATACACACAAGTTGCATAGTCATTTTGAGCAAAGTATCTAGTGAGTACCACTGCTGGATTTGTTCACACTTTGTCCCTCCATTTCTTTTTTTTTTGGGTCCGGTCATGGGGCTTGAACTCTGGGCCTGGGCGCTGTCCCTCAGCTCTTCAGCTCAAGGCTAGCACTCTACTACTTGAGCCACAGCGCCACTTCCAGCTTTTTCTTTTTGCTTATGTGGTGCTGAGGAATCGAACCCAGGGCCTCAGGCATGTAAGGCAAGTGCTCTACCACTGAGCCACCTTCCCAGCCCTGTCCCTCCATTTCTGTGCTCCCCCTTACCCACCCCCCCGCCCCTTACCTTCCCAAAGACAGATACACAAGGCAAAAAAGACAAGCCGGGCGCTGGTGGCTCACACCTCTAATCCTAGCAACTGAGGAGGCTGAGATCTGAAGATGGTGGTTTAAAGCCAGCCTGGGCAAGAAAGGCTGGAAGCGGTGCTGTGGGCTCAAGTGGTAGAGCACTAGTCTTGAGCTGAGATGCTCAGAGACAGCGCCATGCCCTAAGTTCAAGCTCCAGGACAGGACAAAACAAAAACACAGAACATGGAACAGCATTATCTTTTTTTGTTCTTTGTTTTTGACAGTCCTAGGGGTTGAACTCAGGGCCTGGGCACTGTCTCTGAGCTGCTTTTACTCAAGGCTAACACTACCACTTGAGTCACGGTGCCACTTGCAGCTTTTTCTGTGTCTGTGGTACTGAGGAATCGAACCCCAGGCTTTATGTGTGTGAG